CGGAACGAACACGCTCGGAAAGACTGAACACTCACAACGAAATCACGGCACAGAATCACAAAAGCAACACAAACCCGGCACCAGTCTATAGCCCCAACCCCGGAAGGAAAAGACAAGACCACAGGCACGAGATCTATTCACACGCCAACACGAGACAGACCAGGAAGTGATGAAAACTCATGATTGGTTTAGGTCATTCAACGGCCTTGTCAAATCAGCCAATCACAATGCTCGTTTTGAAGCGGAAACAGATAGCGCGCACCGTTTAAAAGTCAAATTGTGGTGGCTAGCAAAAGTCCATGGTTTTGCCTGATTACATTGTAGTTCTTGGGCAGTATGACCATTTCCCAACGCTTTACAGACCTGTTCGAACAGGGCATCAGTGCTTTTCAGAGGACCTCATTACCATGCTTAAATGGTGCAGGTGGGAGGGAATCTGAGGGCTATGATCACGTTTCGGACCTAAGCCTCCGTTGGAGCTTCTATACTAACTGGCCATAACTCATCCTGCATCACCTGAGGAGAAAGAGATCCGGAAGTAGGGGGCCAACTGAACTGATCTTGTAAGTGCTCCACCCAACGAGCCATAGTTCTTGTTGTGAATCAGGGCACCTGCGCTGTCTCTGATTCACACACAGACGCCTTGTTTCCTGGGACCGGTAGTGCGGATCATTTGGAAGAGCTTGCGTTTATTGTCTACTGTCCAGGTTTTGAGCTTGACTGATCCACCATGCTTCTTTGTCAGCACTTGGGCTCCGTTTTACTTCCTACTTCATAGTCCGTCTGGTAATATTATGCTCAGAACCATGTGGGAGTTTTTTGAATTCCAGAAGGTTCACCGCCTTGGATATCCAGTGAGTGGTGCGATGACGATTTGTAATATCACAAACAGAAGCTCCTGCATCTTGCATGGTGGCTGAGATTCTATTCCACTGTAGCTCGGAGTCATGAGGACAACAGAGCGACAGTTCGGTACCCAGGGCATCCTGGTAGGCTGCCTGAGCAAGGGTTGAGATAACTTCTCAGTTGCCAATCGAGGGAGACGCTTGGTACGCCTCCCGGTGAAGTTCATGAAAAGATGACAACGTGCCAAGGCATCATCAAAGTCGCTGCAGGTATTACAGAACGAACGTCGGTCATGCTTGAAACCACGCCACCTGTAACTTATGACAACATGATCTATTTGGGTCCATCGCTGACGAGATATAGGGGGACGCCAAATTGCACTTCTGCGGCCGCTATATCTGAACGCGGTGATGCTCAAAAACAGTCGTTGCTCCGCACACAGCTTTAACGAAATAAAATAATGTGTCAGTTGTACGCCGTAACGGCGTTTCGCTGTCACGTGACTACCACCAGTCGTGCGCTGACTGCGTATACCGCGAGGACGCCCACTCCTACGCGAATTCGTACCGGTGACCTTATGGTTACATACCAGGCACGTAGACCACTCGGCCATCGCCCGATCAGCCTTAGACGCTCGCCGTTGTCCGTACATCGAAGTTAAGCCCATACTTGCCACCTAACAGAGTTTCTGAAGAGCTCAGACGACCCACTTGCGCATTTATATCCTCTGCAAGAACTATGATGTCTGAACTTCGCAGTGGCGTGTTCAGTTCGTGATAGAAGACATCCTGGGCAGCATCAAAACTGCAGTCAGTGGGGGCATAAGCAGAATCCGATAAAAAGCAGCGTCAATTTCTGTTGATGTCCTCAAACGGGTTGCAGACAAACGGCTGTTCACCGGAATCCAATCAAACAATGTTGACTCAGCTATGGACCTTTGAAGGATGCCTACCCCAGCTTGACCGTTGTTGGTCGCATCAGCGTCTCCGTATGTGTGCAACCAATAGCGAGAGAACAAGTCGGACGCAGTCAATCTAAGAACCCCGTGAGGTCATTGATCCTAGTTACGAGTGTGCAACACACGTCAGTACCCAATGTGTCCAATGTGTGTGCGTGTACTGCCTGTAAACCGATTTGTCTTAGGGTGCAAACGTTGAACACCGCCAGGGAAAGGGGGCAGCGTGGCCTTATAAGGGATTGTTGCCGGTAAGCGTCCAGTGGGTGGGGTTGGAAGGTAGTAACAGATGGTTCAACTCCAGTGGCATTATAATTGCTGTTGTGGTGGATTAGAGATTAGGCCTAGACTACCGCAAGTAGGAACGAATTAATGTCCGGTAAAAGAAAGGGTAACGCTGACCTTCAGATGTTACCGGCTTGACTAATTCCACAAAGTATTCGCGCTCCCTGACGGGATAGTCTAAAGATAATATTAAAAAGCGTTGGCTCGACGAAGCTCAGAGTTCCCAGACACAGACAAAACGAGGAAAGCGGAATTAATGGTCGGGACCTAACCATAGGCATACCACGGTGAACTTTAAATTCCGTGTTAAGAAGTGGCAGAAGGGTAAGTTTGATCGAAGCGTTTGATTTCATCCGCGCAAACTCAGGATCTCCCTCCTGATGAGCAGCGATTTTTTCCAGGTCAATCGTCGGACGCAAATTTTCCTAAAGTCCTATGCGGGACATTGCGTCTGCTACAACCTTGTTAGCGGCGTCTATATGACGAGGCCAATTGTAAACTGCGATATGTAATCAAGGTGGAGAGTTTCACGAGGGGGAAACGGTCCGAAGCACCACAGAAGGCAAAAACTAGTGGTTTATGATCTGCAAGGATAGTAAATGTACGACCTTCGATGTGTCCAGTGTTTAATAGCGAGATAAATATCCAGAATTTCTCTTCCGAAAGTACTCTACCTGGTCTGTGCAGGTTGTAGTCTGCAGTAAAAAAGGATAGTGGTTCAGGATGAATTGTAGAACGGCCCCAACTGCGGTCTGTGACGCATCGGTTTTAAGGACGAGAGGTGTATTAACATCAGTCCGCAAATGAGTCAGCGCAGTGACGTTGGGCAAAACATGATTGCTCCTGCCGAAATCCTCTATTGGTACGTGGGTTTGAATTTTTGAGACTTCCCTTTAAGCAACTCCCTTAAAGGTTAAAACAATTTAGAACAATCAGGTATAAAGCGGCCGTAGTAATTCAAGCTACCGAGGAAATGATGCGGGCTTTTGTAGGACTGTGGCATCGGATACGCGTGATCGCTTTCATTTTCTCCGGAATTAAACTGATGCCGTTGCGATCGATTCGATGGGCAAGAAAATCATTGAACTGACCGAAGACGCCTTTGTCCACGTTGATCGTGAGGCCATAAATATCAAAACGCTCAACGATTTGACGAAAATGTAGTAGATGTTCTTCGGGGTTGATGCTGGTCACGAGAATGTCCTCGATATAGGCAAAACAAATTCATCCTCGAGAAACTTGGTAAGTGAATCGTTGCAACATTTGTGCGGCGTTTCGTTAGCCAAAAGATGTGCGAACAAACTCGAAAAGACCGTAGGGTGTGATTAAAACCGTCTAGGGAATATCCTCGAGCGTGACACGAAATTGGTAGTATGCCTGGACCAGGTCGGCCTTAGAGAAGATTACCATCTAAGCCGATGGAAAGGTCGTGCATATGAGATACCTGATACCTGTCTGGAAGAGTGACATTATTCAATGTGCGGTAATCACTACATGGTCGCCAATCTACACAAAACTTCTTGGGAGTCATGTGCAGAGGTGACGATCATGAGCTGTTAGATGGTCGGAGAATACCAAGACGAAGTATATGCTCAAACTCGGCTTTGACGTTAGCGAGTTTGTCAAGTGGTAATCAGTATGGTCGAGTTGTGACTGGAGGTCTCGTAACGACCTGGTGCACTATTCCGTGTTTAGGTTCGGGACAATTATTGGACGGTAGATACAGCGCGGGAAACTGTTGAAGTAGCTCGGTGAACACAATGTTAATAGGTAGGGTCATGCAAAGTCCGATCGAAGTGACTGCGCGGCGTGGTGAGACACGAAGTTCCCTGTTGCCTAAGTCAACATTTAGACCAAAATTTGCAAGGAAATCGACACCGATGATAGGACGTTGAACCTCTGTAATCAGGGAGACGAAAGAAAATGTTTGTCAGAGACCAGGATTGAGAGTCAGCCGTTTCCGCCTTGTGCCTGGATTTTTGTGTTATTATCCGTCTGGAGAGTAAGTGCGGTGGGAATGAGTTAGCGTTTTCCCACTTCAAGAGGTTGAACACTGACCTCGGCTCCATTGTCAACTAAAAACGTAAGATTGGCTGTAGAATCAGACAAAAGCAGGCGACTAGATGATCGACCAACCGAAATCGTCGCCATTACTAACTGGCTGGTGCGTTTCGCTGATGAGTCTTGAGGTGAAGGCTTACGAGTGTGTGCAACCAGGTTGACAATTTCTTAACGGCATCAGCAAAACATCGATGGTAATAGCAAATGTGCTGTCCGGCGTTCTTAACGTGCCTGTTTCTGCTTCTCGAAGTGGATCTAACACTTCGACTGTGGGAGCGATGTCCTCTCTTGACGGCGAGGTCGAGAATGGACAGCATGTGGCAAATATATTCAATGCGATCTTTTGACGCGGCTGTCTCGGGGAGGGTGCCAACAGCTTGATAGACTGGGTGCTGAAAGAAACATTCGTGAACTTTGTCAGCCGTTTCTGCTAGTTGGTCAAGCGACAGATCTTCGGCGAATACAACCAGAATCGCCGTAGTGTTTGGATGGGAGGCATTCGAGCCATGAATGCAGTAAGACGCTGTCGTCGAATTTAGGAGAACCCATCAAAGAGCTGATATAACGGCGAAGGTGAACGATTCCCCAGCTCAACTCCGGAAAGAGGCGGATGAAGTGTGGCCTCGTTGGAAACTGTGAGACTTTTCAAAACGGCAACTTTAAGCTTATCGTAGGGGGATTCGGCAGGAACAGCGTCGAGTAAGTCTACTACCTCGACAGCTATGTGTGTGGGAAGGTGTGCAGCAACGTAGGAGAACATACGTCAGTGTAAAAAAAGCTCCTAACTGCAGAAATCGAATATGCGCATTGGTTACGCCAAAAGCGAGTAAAAAGAACAAACAAACTTTTTAACATAGTCAATGTAAGGAGTGGTGTTAACTGACAACCCACAGTTGGCAAAATGTTCAGGTTTGTAAAGGGAGCAACTTGGTCACCAATTTTGTAGTGAAGTGGAGATTAGTCTTAGACTACCAGAAGAAGGAACGAATCAATGTCAGAAAAAGGAAAGGTAAACGCTGACCCTCAGATGTTACTGGCTTGACTCATTCCACAAAGGTTTCGCACTCTGACGAAATAGTCGAAGGATGATATTAAGAAGTCTTGGATCGACGAAGTTCAGAGTTCCCAGTCACAGAGACGAAATCCAGTCAGTCTGCCGCAGGAAAAAAAGCAGAACGCGCGTTCGGTAGTTTGAGAAGAGTGTATCGAAGGACCGTCAGTTAAAACAGACTGTACATTACCGTTTAAAAACGAAGTGAGATAAAGCACAAAAATAGGAAATCTATGCACACTACACATTAAGCTGGGAATTATAGAAGAAAGGCTAGTATTTTGGGGTTGGAAGGGGAGCGAGAGAGATAAGTGGAGAAAAGAGAAGAAGACGCAAGTGGTGACACGTTTTTACTTATCCACTCTGCCGTATGCAGCAAATAAAGTGGACCTTGGGAATCTGTGCAACGACCGATGCAGGATGCGGTTGAAGTTTGAGGAAATAGTCCTTGTTGTACTTGGGTTGAGATGCTGCCAGGGCGCCCAGACCTAGACAGGGGAACAATTAGGGTCCTCAACCATGGGCTTTAACTCAAACGCCTGTTCGCAAACCAGCGGGGAGATGGCAGTGGTTTAGCTTTACAGAAATGGACGTCATTAAAATCCTCCAACTTGCCTAACCATTGATCAACCTGATAAGAGCAGCTCTCAAGAGGTCCGGGAGCACTAACTAGCGTAGTTCAATGGCTCAAGTAGGTACACAAACGATCGCACTGTAAACGTCCAGTCTCGTTTCAACGACGCCTCTAACCACTAGTGCAATGTTAATATTGCTCATATCTCTTGAAGACGCTGTGACTAATGCCGATGTCCGTAAATTCTTTTTTGGTAAGAACCTTGCTACCACACTTGAGTGTCTGCTCGACTTGAATCGCTGGTTTTCGCTTGGTTATTTCTTACGTATGTCCACTGCCCACTTATCTCCGTCTCCATTATACGCCGTCTTTGCACCTGGTTGGGCGAAATCGAGTGATATCTAGCCAAGGACTTAATAAAAGACTATAAAGAGGTTACCATATGTTACCGAGTATAAGCCGATACATTTTGGACATTTTCATTTCGATAGAGGGGAGTCGACTTATAAAAAGGTGATACGCAATTTGAAATAAGTCGCATGCATAGGAATTCACTGCCCCTATCCCCCTCAACACCGCCCCCTAATGTCGTCGCGTTAGCGTTATTTGGAGCAACGAGTAAAAGACGCTTCTACATTACGGTCACCACAACTGACCAGTAGAGCAGGTTTAGTTTGACCACACTCAATTGAGAGCTGGCAATGGTGACGTCAAAATCTTGGGGAAACAATTTCCTTTTCCTTTTTGCTGATTTGGGGGTCGGCTAATATAGGGCCAAATTTAATATTGCAAAGTTATTAATACGGAGAGCCAGCGCACAAGCCGAGAAGTGTGGCGCAACAGTGGATCGATGTACAATTAGAGATCGAACCCGAGTAAAGATCAAATGCGAATCTATGTGGAATCAACGGCAAGTCGAACCATGGACTTGAACCGTTAGATTTGTGTTTGATTACTATTAATTAGAATCTTCAATTTTGTTGTTTGTGGTTTCCTACAACCTATTTATTGTGCCATTCTCTCATACCAGAGAATCGAAATCCCTCGGTGCGGCTGGTCTTGGCGTTCTCATTTCGTGGCGGGTTGAACTGGTTGGGGGCGGCACAGCAGATTCAGGCAGGTTATCTGTAAAGTCAGCAGGAGCCACAACATATTTCTTGGGGAACCACAACACATTTCTGACGACGGTCAGCTGCACGGTAGCAGCAGATTAGCCGTACATTCAGCAGCACCACGACAGTTGTTCTGTCGGTCTATCCGTGGACGGGCTTATATCACGTAATATGTGATAGTTGAGACACTCGATCATACTGGCACATATCTCCCCGAAGGGGCTACGTTATCTGCCACACTGACAGCTGGGCACTTTAGCCGACATGGCATTGTCACAGATTTAGTGGGGCTCTCGCATCTAGTTGCTGATTTTTCAGTTTGTACGCTTACTATTTCCAGGACCCAGTTCCCATTGTCTTTTACATGAGTCGATGAATTTCAATTTTTTTTCCTGGATCCAATTTCTGAACTGCTACATTTAACACGCCAACATTAATTTCCTGTCACCTTGGCGGCACGGCTTGTGACAACTTGGTCCATTTCAGTTCGACGCTCAGCCTGTTGAGCTGTGTCGGGCTGAATAATCGCCAACGCACGTTTTTCATATCCGTCGCACTCAGTGCTAAGCCATTGAGTCTACTTTTCGTCGATCTCAGCACACGAATCGTCCTACTTATCATTATTTTACCCTTTGACTTGACTGATTGAACCCATTTTCTGTTGATCATATGTTCTGTTTATTCGTTTCAGCTACATTCCTCATGTTGAAAAAAGTACCTCATCTCGAAGGTGGGCCCCCTGCTACAGTGGAGCTGGATTTGGAAGGGTTCACTCCTACTAAAGCAGATTCCGACGGTATTGCAGTGTTATTAAGGCACATGTTTGAAAATTCTCCCGTCAGCGCATCAGACCTCGCCGACCACATTGTAGAGCATAATGCCTGTGGTACTGTGGTAAAGCCATCTGTGGATGACGAGGATCCCGATCAACTGGACAATGAGCAGCAAATCGTTCTAGCTGTTACTACTGTAATAGACATCTCTGTGGACGAAGGTGACAAATGCCCTGTTATAAGCTCTCTCAGGAAGTTTATACGCACTATTGTTTCCACTGCTCCAGCGAGTAACGATAGGGACCTCCTAATGAACATGATGGAACCGAACTCCACCTCGCATCTGTTTTTATTTCTTAATGAAAGGTTTGAAAATTTACCTCTTTCCGTTTGCGCCGATGCAGTAGCTATGCTTCCCTCGGAGATAGCAGAAGCAAAACTATCTCCCACTCACCTCCTCCTCATCTCTCGAGCGTACCGGGATCAGGAGCTCGCTTCGTCCCAGTCTACTCTGGAGTATGCTTATCCAGAGTTTGAACAGCTCAAAGAGTTTGCTTGTGCAAGCGTCGAAGTAACCGCTCAGCCTTCGGATGAATCGGACTTCAACACTCATATTGTCATACTTGTTCAGTTCGACAGGTTGCCCGAAATTCTTGATGCTATGCGGAACTACTTGTAAATACGTTTACAGTGATAATCAGAACGGCTCATGTTATCATCTTTATTTCATCCTCTGCCTCTGGTGGGTTTTAATTATGCACCTCTGCTAACTAGGCACTCTTAACTATCTTATTAACAGAGCACACATTGGACCCATCGTACACACAAATATTTACAGTTTCAACCTTATCACGCACCTGTTTCCATTATCCGTTGCAGGAATCTTCTCAGCGAAGTCATAACGTCCAGTCCGATTAGTCTTGTATGTAACCTGTGAAAATCGACAGCTTCCAGCAATCCTCTCTGCATTTGTTGTGTCTCTTCCGTCAGGGAACGTCTGAAACGACAAGAAATAAACTAGATGTCATCCAAATTGCACTCGCCACTTTTCGGTTGCCTTCATAGTTCATCTTTAGTACAAGTGTGTTATAGACTGACTGTTCCAAAAGCTCAATTCGCTGAGAATGGAGTGTAGCTTGTCTGTTGGCACACGAGCCTCACTCTTACTGTAGCACCTTAATAACTTTTTGACGACTACTGGTGTCGAATTCGAAGATAGACCTTGTTGTAGACTTGAGATCTGGATGGATTTTTTGCTTGATAATTTAACCAGTTGCCCAGACAACAGATTTGGTACTTTTGTGCTTTATCGTTTACGTTGATATTCTGGTAGCTGTTTCTCTTGTTTATGCTATTCAAAGAGGGAAAAGGTATCATCAGTACTCCGATAGTCTGTACCGACACTTCGCCACCACATGACCACCACCAGTTGCGCGCGACATACAGATCTTTTCAGGTTGACTGCAACTACGCAGACGCCTCATATTAATCGGCTACCGGCTAGCTACACTACTCATGACACGATGTATTTCACGATTGCTTTAGGTATGTGAAGTCCATCGTGTACACAAATATTTCCATCCTCATTACCATGACGCAAGGGCTAATCGATTCTTCACCCTTGATTTTTCGTATTGGTTGCATACATATTTTGGATTCATGAGCTGCACATCGAACTATCTACTGGCTTACCCTCGTTCATCCCATGTTTTCACTTCACTCTAACTAGATCATACTTTTTATTGCCTTAGTACCTTTATTACGTCACTTGACCGAGTCGACTCGGCGAAATGGGCGTACTAGTAAGTACTCCTATTATCCGAACGACCATCCACCTTAAACTACGTGTATTTGAGACAACCTGGCATCTAACAGTCTGGACACACGTCAGTTTCTTATATTGAACCTTGCGGAGCAGTTGCTGGAAAACAGGTGCATACCTCAGTCAGCTGACTGAGAACAGTGCGGTCGCTCTTCCGCGCAGTCCTAGCGTTTTGCTATCACGCTCTATCTTTTTCTGTCCTTTCGTCCCGTTCTCTTACTGTAGACACACTGAGTCATTCTGGTTGATGACCAACATCGCTTTCCACTCATCCCCCGCTCGCGCTCAGCATTGCACATCACGGCCTGTTATCACTTCTCTCCCTGGTTCCTAGTAGGCTGCACGCCTTCTACTTAACTACACGGTTGCCGATTGGTACATAGCTCATGTCCTGGTCACCGGCTCGAATCTGCCTACATATGAGCGATCTCGCATAGTCTTTATCTTGCTCGCAACTGGTAGTCGCATAGCAGCGAAGCATCGATACAATTATCGCGAATATGTGTACTTCGGGGTAAGACGAAGGTGCTCTTCCAAGATGGGTATTTTGAGTGTGCACGTTTCGTCTCCAGACTAGAATGCATCATCAGTGCGCTTCCAGATCCAAATGATTATGGACCATTGTCTGATTCTAATGTTGGGATTCAATGAATTCACCTGGATTGACCAATCCGCCGTCCTCATTGTCGTCCCGTTGACCTGGGGCAGATTTCTGCTTTTACATGCAACACTTCATAAACAAGATTTAGCTCCATTTGTCTTGCATTGGTTTTGCCCCGAGTGTCAAACATCGATGAACTCACGCGCCTTCTGGCTTATTGTTGTTCCCATTATGTTGACATTCTCCAAATCAAATTGATGACTTTCTGCGTCCATATGCGCCGACGTTGGGGAGTTCTGCTCGGGTCGGCATCTGAATACTGAGGTTTGAGAGATAAAAGGTATAGATCTGTCTAGATACATCGATATAGTACCTGGCACACATGCGAAATAACGTCGTTTATTATCGCGCTTTACCATCGTGGTTCAGTTGTGTGACTTCCTATTCGGGTGTCATGCGCCCTCGAAGTCCGTAATTTGCAGTGGGCGTGTAGGAATTTCTTTAATTCCTGCGCAGATTTCGTTTCTGCTACTTTTCTCGGGTAAATCATTCTAGTATTTCCTCACTCAAATCATAGAGGGTTGGCTATCCGCTTCAGGTCCGGCACTACAAGCTTGTACCCGCGAACATTGCCTGGTGCGCATTCTGAATGGGTGATCTTCCTCCGCCTTCCCTAACTGCAATGGGTCTGATTTCTTTTGATAAATGTTCTTAGGCAGTTCCTCTTCTTACTTGTAGAATGATTTCTGCGGAATTTTCTTTGTGTGCGTCAGTTTTCAGTAGACTATAGTCTCCAGTGTCCAGAAGCATGCCTTATCACGAGAACTCTCAAGAGTGGTTATTGGTTATTTTCTCTTTGGTATAGTGGGTTCCAGTAAAAGTGTTGTTTATTCGTTGCTATGTTTCCTCCAGTTTGACAAAGGTCTCATCCACGTATCACTGATTATGTCATCTAGTCTGGCGACGAAACGTCTGCAGCAAAAAATGCTTAGCTCGGAGAACAGCAAAACGCCCTCGAACTCCAGCACAACCTACCGGAGTACTAGTAATGCCTTTCTGATACCATGTCCTTACTGAGCTTCGGACCCAACCAAGATCATATCTACTGTTGCTGGAGGGCATGTTTATTAAGGCTGAGACCGCTAAATTCTTGAGACCCAGGGGCACCCAAACACCACAGCTCTATGGGTTGCCAAAATTACACAAGGAAGGTGTGCTACTGAGACCGATTTTATCTACGAGCAATTCGCCGCAACATAACTTGGCTAAATGGTTAGTCAAGATACTTGAGCCAGTCAGGAAGTCAATGGTTACTCACAGTCTATAGGACACATTCGAATTAGTGCAGCTACTGAACAGCATAGAGCTGAAAAGCAAAGTTATATCCAACATTGACATTGTATCACTGTTCACAAATGTGCCACTGAAAGAGACCATCCAGATTATATGTAACTATGTGACTGCGAGTCAGTTGGAAATAGGCCTTCCAGTCTCTGAATTGGGAAGACTGCTACTCCTGTGCACATGGAATGTAAAATTTTATTTCAACAACAAGGCTATCGACAGGTGGATGGTGTCGCAATGGGCAGCCCGCTCGGACCAGTGCTAGCGGATATTTTCGTTGCTCACCTCGAAAATCAAGCTAGGAACGAAATTAACCAAGCCGTGCTTTTTCGCAGGTATATTGACGACATGCTGCTCATTTGTAACCAAGAGGTTCACCTCACTCAACTGAGTAACATTAAATAGCCTGCACCAAAACATCACGGTGATAATGGAACATAAGCAGAATGATACTGCCGTATTTGGACATCAAGGTCACCGGTTCGAATCCGCGTAGGGGTGGGCGTCCTCGCGGTATACACAGCCCGCGCGCGACTGGTGGTGGTCGCGCAGCAGCGAAGCGCCGTTACGGCGTATAAGCTGACACATTTCATTTCATTCATTTTGTCGGCCGGTGGCCGAGTGGTTGGCACGTTTGCTTTCTAACCATAAGGTCACCGGTTCGAATCCGCGTAGGGGTGGGCGTCCTCGCGGTATACACAACCCGCGCGCGACTGGTGGTGGTCGCGCGGCAGCGAAGCGCCGTTACGGCGTATAAGCTGACACATTTCATTTCATTTTTTTTTGTATTTGGACATCTTGATAGAACGCAGGAACGGTGGATCGATACGTAGATCTGTCTACCGCAATCACACATGGAAGGGTCAGTATTTTAACTTTCATAGTTTTGTCCCAAGCGCTACAAACAGGGCTTGGTGCGGACTCTGTTTGATAGAGCGAGGAAAATATGCACTCCTGACACGCTCAAACAGGAGAACCAACTACTCACCAACATTGACAGAAAACGGCTACCCGCCTGCTTTCCTCGCTCAATTTGGCAACCAGATAGCAGAAGCGAAACAACTCACCCTACCGAAATTGAAAGTATTATTGTCGTTGAAGGGGGACGATGTAAGCTAAGTATTTCAACGACGTTTGAAATCCGCAGTGGCACGTGTGTACCCCGCAGCGCAACCGGTATTATTGTACACAACGACTCGCATCCCTACTCCGTCGGTTAAGCCACCAGTACCTCTGTCCAACCGTTCACACGTCCTTTACCAATTTACATGTAATTGCAAGGCCGACTACGTTAGTGTGACAGAGGGTCAACTGCAGGTGAGAATTGCGGCGCATTTGCCGAAGTGAGTGAGACGACACGTCTCGCAAACGACCTTAACCATAGCCCCAAGTGCTAACGATTTGCCATAGAAAGTTCCAGTCTCGTCAATCGCCCGACACTTGCTGACAGACAGACACAACGTGGACCCTGCGCGCACATTCCGGGTGATCTTTGCGTCAAATAACACCCACGTTTTATGATATGGCGAAGCAGTATTCATCAAATAACTGGGCCCCACCCTATGTGTACAAAAGGACGCGTTCGTCACATTGGCTCTGTCGTGGTAGTAGGCCAGTTGACAGACGAACAAGTGTGTGACTGGTTGTCTATGTGTGTGTGTCGGTGTATGTCCTTTGGTGAATTTGCTATCCCAACTATACCAGATGTTCATGGTGCTATGTACTTGTTTGCACGCAATCTGCAATACGCACTTGATAATATGCAGAGAAATTTTTCCGGATATAAATCGTGCGGTGCTGTCATGTTAACCTTCTTGTCAATATCTACTAGTATGTCAGTTTCCGCTCATGCTGGTTGTTGCGAATTTACTTAGTTGCATATTTAGGTTGCAGTGCACATTCTGTCAGGATCAGTGTTCTTCAGCAGCTAGACTTTAATCATCTTGATCACTCCTCATACTTTCACATCGTTCTGAATGGTTGAGAGGCACCTAGAAACGACTTACAACACACACAAACCCAACGAACACTTCGTATTCAAGTAAATGCACTCGAGTATGTCTGGGTCGAAGGGTAGCACTTGTAACTTATGCTATCCTAACTGTTTATCTGTGCGCTTTCCCCTACCTGTTTGATTTATCAGAATTGAATCTATTTGCTCAAATCGGTGTGACTTCGTGTGTTATCAAACAACTTACTGACTAAAGTTCTGCCAGTTCATCACATGTTA